CTTCAGTTCCCACCGCTCGGAAACCTGTTAGATGGCTTCCTAGGAAACGAGCCTGACTTGTGCCCCAAATTGGCCCAACAGACTTAGTTATTGTCCTAGATTTTTTTTTTACTGCTTTCGTGCGACTAATCAAATTATTTTTAAACGTGCCTGAGTGAATGAGAGTTTTTTTTCCTCAAAACACTTAATCAATGGGTCAGTTGTAATGCGTAAATTGGAAACAAATCGTAAAAGCAGAAGTAGCCCGGCAAAAGAGAAATTCAGTAGGATTGTATTTCAAAATACTTTGGTTCTAAATGGAGTTCTGAGCTCTCTGTAGAAAGAATAGATTTTGTTTTGCTGTTTTTAGTTTTTGATGGTGTGCTTATATGTATTTAATGATCTTTATCACAATTGTTTTAGACACCTGTTCAGATAAAGGAGTTTGGTGCAGTAAATAAAATCGACTTCTCCCCTGTTCCTCCATATAACTATGCTGTCACAGCTTCCTCAAGGGTAAGTGGCTTTTCTGAGGTTTTTATGTTCTTGGCCTTCAGTTGGTATCATATGAGCAAACTTAATGTCTTCTTGTTTTGCTAGATCCACATTTATGGTCGTTACTCTCAGGAACCAATCAAAACATTTTCTCGCTTCAAAGATGCTGCTTATTGTGCCACATACAGAGATGATGGCAATCTGCTTGTTGCTGGCAGCGAGGAAGGTAGCATTCGCCTCTTTGACGTTAGTGGAAAAGCACCACTGAGACAATTTGATGGTCATACCAAGTAAGACAGTGTTGGTTTTTTCTCTTCTTTGTGTGCATAAGCTTGTTTGGTGTATTTACATATGTCTGCTTTGCATGTTGCTGAAAATCTGAATAATACTGACCTATGTTGCTTGCAACTGTCTCACATAGATCTTATTGAAAAGTAGATTTTTAAATTGAAATAAAAATTGCAGTGAATTTTTTTTTTTAAATTCTAAATATGAATTGAGTACATGGAAGAATAAATATGTTTTCTAATACAATTAGGTGTCAATACGTTGTGATAAGCACATTTGATGCTGGCAGGGGAAGAGTTCTAAAAAGTATCTAAACAAAAACACTGTAGAAGTGAGCCAGGGAGAGCAGGAATCCCTTAAAAAAACCAAAACAGAAAAAGCACATGATGGCAGGTTGGGGTTGGGGAGGAGTTAGAAAAGTTCTGATGTACCAGTGAGGAGAAGACAATGCTTAGATTAAACAGATTGCTGTGCTATGGAAAACCAATACGTGTTTTATCTGTCTAGAACAACAACAGCAAACCCCCTTTCACTGGAAAGCACACAGGCAGACCTTGAGAGTGTTTCTGTTTGAGGTCTGTGTTTGTAGATCAGGCATTATCTTATATCCTAACCACTAGTTAACTGTAGTAACATTTAAGGTATCTGTGTTTTCTGTCAAAGTCATTCCCTGTTGGGATGCAATGATGATAATACAGATTTAAATAGTACTTTTAAAGGACAAGAAGATTTTCCAGCCCAGTCATAGTTCAAATTCACTACTATAATATTTTTCTAAAGAACAGTGCTAGTACACAGACTTCTAAGTAACAAATGCAGAATTTAGAGCTTTTGAATGAGCATCTAGTAGATCTGTAAAACCTTTGAGGCAGATCATATCAGTGCTTAGGTAAGCATCTGTCAGCGTGACCTTTTTCTGGCTGGAAATGCAAAACCTAAAGTGTTTTTAACCTCTAAAGTGAGGCTTTGTAAGTTCCAACAGTAAACACTTTGCACTTTTAACTCAGATAGAACACTTTAATAAGCTCTTCATGCAGACTGACTCTTCTGGAATCAAGTATATGTTTTAACTTTGGATATTGTGAACTTTGGTTTCTAGGGCTGTTCATGTAGTGGGCTTCTTGTCTGATAAATACCGAATATTTTCTGGTGGTGATGATTATTCATCAAATTTGTGGGATATTCCAAGTGCTACAGAAATCGTCTCATACAGTGAACATACTGACTATGTGAGATGCGGCTGTGCAAGTAAAGTGAATGCGGATGTCTTTGTAACAGGTTTGATTTTATTTTTTATATATGGTTCTTTTGGATTGAAGAAAAACAGAGAAAGATAGTTTTTAATACAGTAGGATCTTCCTTATTATGTTTTAAACATGGAGAATCTGCCTTCCTACTCAGTGCCTACTTTGTTGTTTCTTTTTTGCTTGATTTTTAAGCTTGATACTGATCTTTGTAGGAAACTCTGAACTAATTTTTAACATTTTTTGCCTATTAGACTTAATCATAGAATCATAGAGTGGTTTTGGTTGGAAGGGACCTTAAAGATCATCTAGTTCCAACCCCCCTGCCATGGGCAGGGACATCCTTCACCAGACCAGATTGCCCACAGCCCCATCCAACCTGGCCTTGAACACTTCCAGGGATGGGGCATCCACGGCCTCTCTGGGGAACCTGTTCCACTGCCTCACCACCCTTAGAGTGAAGAATTTTTTCCTAATATCTAACCTAAATCCGCCCTCTTTTAGTTCAAACCCATTACCCCTTGTCCTATCACTGCACTCCTGATAAAGAGTCCCTCTCTATCTTTCCTGTAGGCCCCAGTGGGTGCCTAATGGGACTGTTCTGACTGGCCTTTGAAAGTTTTAAGAAAATCCTGTGAATGTATACTTTAGTTGGGATTGACTGAAGTGTTTTATCAAGTTTCCAGAGCAACACACTAGTTCCACTGTAGTTTGTACAGCCCAAAACTGGCAGACTCAAAAATGAAGGTTGTGTGAGAAGTTATTTGAAACCAGTTGCTTTTGGTTTTCCTAGTAGTAGCTTTCTATAAATGTATGGTAAATTGCTATGAAAAAAATAGTATTCCTTTCTTGAGGAGGCACAAGAGACTGGGTTTCCTCAGGTTGCCTGATATTTGTTAAAAATTCACTTGATTAGTGAAAATGAAATTAAGACTTCAGTTACCTTAGAGGCCTGACATGTTGCTAGGCCTAGAATTAGAAGACTTACAATGCCTGAAGGCTGTAAATTAACCAAGGTAAACCACAAGGTGTTCTAAGTATATGGTTTAAAACTTTCCATTTGGCAGGAGCTCCTTTAGATTGTAGGATGTGACTGGTTTAGTTCCTGAAATAACTGAAATTATGAAACTGAAGCTATTTACGGTATTGTTTGCAGGTTCCTATGATCACACTGTCAAACTATTTGATGCACGAACAAAAAGTAGTGTCTTGACAATAGAACATGGCCAGCCTGTGGAGAGCGTGCTTCTGTTCCCTTCTGGTGGGCTTCTAGTATCTGCAGGTACTTCAGTAAAATCAAATTTCTTTTCTGTGACCTTGATTTGAGAAATACTTCAGCTGCTTTTTTATTCTGTGGCGTTTTCATTTGGTAATGAAGTTCTAAGTGATGTAACATATGGATTTCTCAAAGATCTTCTTTAGGAATCTGTGTCGATTTGGAGGGTGAAGGTAGGGGCCTTTTTGTCTCTGATTTGATTTTCTTGTAGTTGGTCCAAAAAAAAAAAAAAAAAGACATTTTTAATGACAAGGTAGAGAATTTAATTAGCCCAGTGCTACAGTGAAGGAATGAACATACTTAAGAAGTTTTGAAAAGATGGAATGGTATCTTAATGATAAGGTTTTTTAGTCTTTTCTTGCCATTGCATCAGAAGTCCTGTAACCCAGTGGTATCTAGTTTCTTGGTTTTTGTAAGGAGTATGTTGAATCATTCAGCTGTGCCTGGAGAATGGCATAAAAAGGGCTTGCAACGTGTCTTGTTCCAGGAGATAGTTGTGATGGGGATGGGGATGGTGAGTGGTACAGAAAACTCTGGGTTACAAAGGAGATGCTATATCACTCTGTGAAAACTTCTCCAGAGAAGTGTAAATGTGTATGTATGTCAAACTGTTTTGTGTGCTTCCTTCTCACAGGAGGTCGATATGTCAAAGTTTGGGATGTACTAAAAGGCGGACAATTACTAGTTTCACTTAAAAATCACCATAAAACTGTAACTTGTTTATGCCTGAACAGCTCTGGACAAAGGTTATTGTCAGGATCCCTGGACAGGTTAGTGTATTTTGTAGCTTTGTTGTGATCTAAGTTCCTTAGGACTTTTTCCTTTGAAAGTAATTCATCACTGTGAATCTGTATGTGTTTTTTGCGCTTAAACACTTTTAACTGTTAGAGATACAAATTATTTGAAAACATGTCTTGGTGCCAAGGTACATACTGGAATATACATTAACCTTTTCCTCTTACTAGCATGAATGTCAGTACAAGTTGCGTGTGCTGTTTGGGAATGTGCATGGAGAATTTCTGAATAAGCATTCATTTTTCTGAATCTCTAAACTGACTTTTGCAGTCTCCATAAAGTAACTGTTCTTAAATTTAATACAGTTTAAATAACTGAAAGTGTATTAGCATTCACCTTTAAAGAGCCTGGGTTTTGTGTCTGTGTGCTGTTGTTTTTTGTACCCAAGGTGCGCAGGTTAAATATGTCCTTCTTGCTTTTTTGTTTGTTTGGGTTGAGTTGCTGAGTACTGGTACTCAATCTGTTGTCTCCGAGACATTAGAAATAAGAAGTGGTCTGAAACGACAGTGATCTGTTCTGTTCCTCCCTCTCTCCCTCCCTCCTGCACTTCCTAGGCTTCCTCAGTCTTCATGATTGCAAAGCATAAGCTAGCTAAGATCACGCTAGCTGTGTAGCTATTGGTCATTCAGTGCTTACAACACTAAAGTTCATACTTGTAAGATAATGTTTTGTTTTCCCTTTTCTTAAATATTTCCTACCTTCAACCAAATCATTAAAGAGGTACAAGATTATCTATGGATTTACTTCTGTAAATGGTCAATAGATCTTACATTTAAAATTTAAGAACAGTTCTGAAGAAATGTCTTAGTGTTTCCTAATTGCTGCTGAAGTCAGATAGTCACTACATCTGCCTTCAATTTCTTCTGTCCTTGCCCCATTTTCATGTTTTTTGGTAAATCTTTCTTGACTTTCGTGTATCTTTTAACAGAACCTTTCTGTTGCAGGAGAGGTAATAACTAAGCAGCTCAGTGTAATCTGAAGAATGCTTTGTATAAACACTCAGTTACCTTAAATGATCTATGGAAGTTGAGAGTGATTAAATTCCTGTAAAGTGTCTACAATAGTAACAAGGTTTTAATCATTACTCTTCTGTATAGGCATGTGAAGATCTACAGCACTACTTCCTACAAAGTAGTCCACAGCTTTAATTACGCAACATCCATCCTCAGTCTTGCATTGTCAGTAAGTACATTAGAAATCTTTCTAGGCAAGGTAATTACTGATATCTTTTAAGTCACTGAAGTAATTTTTTTTTGCTTTCATTGCTATTGGATGTTTCAGAAGAATACTGTACCTGCAAAGTAGGATGACTGAATGTGTTCCTCCTGAGGAAAAAATACATTAAGAGGTTTTAAACATAATAATATATTCAGATACCAGATGTTAACTGATTAGAGCTGTACAAAATTGTGTGTTTATCAGGGACAGTATATATCATAGGGGAAGTATTTAGTTTAGAAGGGAAGTCCTTTAAGAAGATTGTACTCATCTTTTGCCTTTCAGGAACCTGTGAGTCCTCTTGTCTGGCAGTGATAAAAGAAAGTTGTTCATTCGTTGAGAAATTTAGAATAGGGTGAACTTGTCTTAAAAGTTGTTGGTGTTAGGTTGGTCTGAGGAAGAAAGGAGAAGGCATGAGGTATGAGCAGAAAGAAACTTGTTTGCCAAGGCATGCATCTCTTGTCTTGGAAACAGAAAACAAAGACTGTAATTTCTCTGAAACATTTGAATTCCAATGGATAAGTGATCTGCTGGCCAGAAATTTGGAGGCTAGCACCACTTTTTAAAACAATGTTGTCATCATGTAGTCACCCTCTTATGTAGCCTCTGAAGGACATGTAAAAGGGACTGTGAGGGATTTGCTGCTTTACTATTGTCCTGCTCCTCTGAAACATAAGGGAAGGTGTCTGTGGAGCCGGTATCTTCCTTTCTTCATTTCCTACCTTGTTTCCTAGGGAGCTAGAGCTGAATGAGTTTTGAATTATTTTGGTTGAGGTGAACAGTACAGAACCAAAAACCCCCATACCCTCTAAGCCTCTACAGCAGCTGTAAAACAAGCAATACCTGTAGTTTGGCATCTCTAGAGCTGTGTATATATCTTTTGAAACATAATCTTTTGTGTCCTATTGACTAAAACTCTTGAGTTTTAAATGGTCATATAAGTACATAAGACTGGCTCTACTGGGTCAAACCAGATGCTGGTCTAATTCCAGATGCTGCTTCCAACTATGGCCATAAGTAGATGCATATGGAAAACTGAAACCAGGACAAGTCTGTATGATAAGTTTCCTGATACTCTCCCAAATTCTAAACTCATTTTCAGATGAGAAATTAGCTCATCAGAGTGTAGTTTTTGTGTAATTCAAAGAATTTCTCTTATATAAACCTGCCCAGTCTCTCCTTGAGCTTGGATAAGCTTTTAACCTTCATTAGATTCCTTGACAAAGAGTTCCACATTTCTGCTACTTGTCGTGTGAAGAATTGCCTTCTTTTGTTCTATTTGAACCTTTATTAGCTTCATTTGATGCCCCTGAACAAGACATTGACCAGCTGATCTCCATCCATGCATGTCATCATTGTGTAGCCTTTTGTCATATCCCTCCTCAATTATCCTTTTTTCTCATGCTGAAGAGTTCTGTCTCAAATCAAGCCAATCTTTGATTCTCCTCAGGGTTTTTTTGTTCTTTTATTCTGAATCTGCTATGAAATGCTTGAAAATGACTTGCATAGGATTTAAGATGTGGGTAAATAATGGATTTATTCAGCGGCATAATGACTTTCTAATTTTTATTTCTTCTGTAATAATTCCTAACAATTTTTTTCTTACCAGCAGTTGAGCATTCATCTAATGTTTAATGTTTTCATAGAATTATCTGTTAATAGTAACAGGTCAGTATTTTATGTGTGAAGTCAGTGTTTTTCTCCAGTGCATCATTTAAAATTAAAACCATTAGTATTGAATACATGCAACCTCTGTTATGTAGGTGAAATTTATACCAGTGACTGGTATTTTGAACAACTTTCACTTATTTCTCAAAATCCTGCTGTTCCATGATAGCTTTCTCATAGGTGCTGTTCATGTCTACTGTATGGCATGTAATAGCCATGGGCAGTTGTACACTGTTGAAAAAACCAAAACTTGTAATAGATTATACTTACAGAAGGATGTTAATGCATATTGGAGCTTGCTTCACTAGTCAGGTTATAGTCCCTCCAGGTATTTATTAAGGGTTTATTAGATGGGTAATGTTGCTTACAATCATAGCCTTGAAGCTGTGCCTGTTTTGAACAAGATATTTGACCATGGCACCTCATAGAGGTGCCTTCCAACTTAAGTTATTCTATGACACTGTGATTAGAGCCTTATCATGAAGCATACAGATTTAGAAATCTACATGGTAGAGCATGCATCATGAAATGAAACACTAGGTTCCTAACTCTGATTTCTTTTTAGCCTGAAGATGAAACCATAGTCGTAGGCATGACCAATGGGGTACTAAATGTTAAACACAGAAAACCTGAAGAAAGGAAGGAGAAGTCTCAAAAGAGGAGACAACCAGCATATAGAACCTATGTGAAAGGAAGAACTTACATGCCAAAACAGGTATAGGGGTTTGAGAAAATGTACACTGAAGAAATCCTCAAAATACTGTTGGTTGTGGGGTTTGGTTTGGTTTTCTTGAGTGTGCTAAGTTGAAGAAAGGGAAGGGAGGGAAGGTACAAAGACATATAAGCTTGTTCATGTTAATACATCTAATCCATTGTGTGTGTGTGTCTTACTCTGAACTCATCTTTCAATTTTAGGAAGATTTCTGTGTCAGTAAACCTGTAAAACGTGTTTTGAGGAAATACGACAAGCTGCTGAAGAGCTTTCAGTCTTCCAAGGCCCTTGATGCAGTACTGGAGGTAAGGCATTGGTTTTTGTCTTACCAGATTTGAATGCCATCATCTGATGTGGATTTTTTCTGTATGTCAAGCTAATTTTATTTCAGTGTATAACTAGAAGGGGATCAAACTTGTGTGGGTTCCATTCTGGGTTTGCTGATATCAGCCCTGTTTTGTGTGTAAAGATGTTGCTTTGGTACTAAACTCTTCTTATATTATGTCTAGCCACCCATCAGACTTTATACTCCTGAAGTTACGGTTGCAGTTATGCAGGAGCTACATCGCAGAGGAACACTGAGGAGTGCGCTTGCAGGCCGAGATGAGAAGCAAATTAATCTCCTTCTTACCTTTGTGGCAAGGTATTATTTTTACCTGAGTTCTCCATGAATATTTTGAGGCCTGTATTTCTTAATAGGTTTTGCCACAGAGTCTTAGTGAATCATGGGTGGAACGCTGGTACTCTTGAAGTCTTGCATACTTTCTGCTTTCTGATATCAAGGTCTGGGATAGTACTGAAATAGTTTACCTGTTAGCACAAACCAATTTTGCTAATAGTGTGAGAAAATATATTTTACTTCTTTGCCAGACATTCTACTCTTAGTCTGTTATTTTCTGTCTTTTCAATTAAACTTGTGTCTTCACATTCCCGTGGCTTTTGCCAGTCCTCAGACTCCCACTGCCTTCCTGAAATGAGGAGCTTTTTTTGTAGCTTTTTTTGATTCGCATCTCTGACTGCTGTTCTGTGATGTTTCTTCATGAAGAAAAAAATGCCTGTATTCCTGTATGAGAAAGCTGCTGCTTGGTGGGAGAATGAGTGCATTTGGTAAAACCAGTAAAATTGGGATGTCTTCTAATTTTGCAGGCGTGTGATCGAGCCTAGATTTACTCCTGTACTGGTGACTGTTGCAGATATGATCACTGGTAAGTATAACACAAAAAAGATTTTCAAAGTCATATAACTAGCTTGGAAATAAGGTGAAAAGTGCTAAATTGTTAAGAAACCAAACCTTTATGGGTTTGTTTATAAGTATGAACTCAGTGGCAAGAGGATGATCCAAAAAGAGATGTGGCCAGATAACTTTGACCACAGTCAGTATCTGATTTGCACTGGCTGCAGGAAGCTCCTCAGTATCTTTGATACTTCATGTTTCTATACTTAGATGGTACAAGTGACTTCCCCTTCTCCAATGAGGTAAAGATAGTTTTTGAGGTTGTAAAAACTTCTGCTTCTGTTAGTTTAATTTACTGTCACTGTGAGTACATACCGATAATTAAGACTGTTTTCAGAACACTGTTAAAGTTATCTTGTTTGTCCACAGTGTTGGACTTGTGCCAGACTCCTTAAATGCATCTCTAACTAGCTAATATAATTTGCATGTTTTTAGAGATACGCCGATTCTTAAGTGACTTTTTTCTTTACAGACATTTATCAGCCTGTGGTTGGGCAGTCAGCGATTGTTGATAGGCAATTCTTGAGACTTCAGGAAGCCATAGGAAAAGAGATTGACTATCAAGAGGAACTACTAGAAGTTTTGGGCATGATGGATACACTGTTTGCTACTTTTACTAAGAAAAGAGCTACTTACCTAGAAGAGAACAAAAGTAATGGTCTTACAGAGACCATTGAAATGAATATCATTAACTGACTGACAGCCATCACAACAAATTGTCACAAAAATAATGTGGACTTGAAATACATGATCTGTTCTCCTCATAACTTTTTATAATAGTGACTTTCAAAATGAGCCCCTCTGTGTTGAAGTTCTGTCTGACAAACTGTGTTTCTGAATAGGTTGAATTACTGGAGTCAGAGAAAGAAGGATGTTTTCAAGGTTTTCCATACAATGTTTTTTGAACAACTGAATTTTAAAGTTTTATTCCAAAGTCACGTACCTTTTAACGAGTCTTTTGTGCATCCAGTATTAAGTCATTACTTGGTTGAGAGTCAGTCAACAATTTTCAGGTTTTATTTACCAGAAAATAATTTGAGGTTTGTCTGATTTTAATGTGTTATTGTCCTTATTTAAAGTTAATATCCCATCTCATGTACTTGGACATAGGAATAAAACCACATATATGTTTGATAAAACTTGACTACATTGTGTTTTCTCTCTCTGCTTCATCTTCATTTCAAACTTCCATAAATTCAGAGGAAATGGCAAAATGACTCAAGAAAACCAGTGCATGCTTATATATATTGAAAAAATTGTTAGTTTCATTTTTTAAATACTGCATATACATTGATGAATTATAATTCTCTAGAAAATAGGTAATTCTTGCTTCTAAAGGGAAATGAATTCAAATTAAATGAAGGTGGTAAGTAAACTGCACACCAGTGCGAAAATCCTCAGTTAAGTAAAAGATCTCAGGTTTTGTGTAATTCTATCACTTTCAATGTACACTAGATGCAATTTGAGTCTGCATTGTTATCAGTATGTATTTGAATGCTGAGATAATGGTTTATTTTAACTTCAAGCAGTGCTGGAGAAGGATGGTATACTTTGGAAAGATGAGTGCGCCCGAGGCTGCTCAACACATGCAGGATGACAGTAGGGTAGAACTTTCTCCTTAACCTGTTTTCTGTGACTTCCATTTTCCCCCAGGACTAGAATTTGAGATATAGTATGAGTTTCCTGCAAAAGGAATTTGCTCAAATGTGGCAGTAAAAGATGGGTATCAGTGACAGAAGATAACTTGAACAATTTTGCAAGTTCTACCTAAAATCTTAACAATCTTTGACTGAAAAGTGTGGAGCAATATCTGGTCTGCCCTTAAATTAATATGTGAGCACTATGTGTTCCTGCCTACTGGGATTTGCTGATTTTGAAGACGTAGGATGATAATAGGTAATAATGAGGAGCCTGTTCATGCAAACTTTAAATTTTTAGTTTACTTGTTGTTTACTATTTTTATTTTATTTTTGCTAGTAGACCTGAACTTTCTTGTCTTTTAGGATATCCATGTACTACTTTTCATTGTGTGGCTTATTCCATGACCTTTCAGTAGTGCTTGGAGTTGAAGGTTGACATTTCTTTTGGCAGCCTAGTGTTCCATGGCTTGAGAACCACTGACCTTGACATCAAACATATTCTTAATTCTTACTGACAATATTAACATCTAAAGTATCCATTGCAGTGCCTTGAAGTTTGATGTGTGGCTAGCAGAATTGTAGGAAGAAGTTAAGATTAAATTAGCAGATTATTTTGATCTGAGTGGGAGATAAGGATTTGATGGATGGACTGTTTGGTGGATGAGAAATTGGTTGGATGGTCGCATCCAGAGGGTAGTGGTCAACGGCTCATTGTCCGGATGGAGATTTGTGACAAGTGCTGTCCCTCAGGGGTCCATATTGGGACCAGTACTGTTTAATATCTTCATCAATGACATAGACAGTAGGATTGAGTGCACTCTCAGCAAGTTTGCAGACAAGACCAAGCTGTGGTGCTCTTGACACACCTGACGGACAGGATGCCATCCAGAGGGACCTGGGTAAGCCTGAGAAGTGGGCTCATGTGAATCTCATGAGGTTCAACAAGGCCAAGTGCAAGGTCTGGCACATGGTTTGGGGCAGCCCCCAGTATCAGTACAGGCTGGGGGAGGAAAGGATTAAGAGCAGTCCTGTGGAGAAGGACTTGGGGGTGTTGGTGGATGAAAAGCTGGGCGGGAGCCAGCAATGTGCTCTCGCAGCCCAGAAAGCCAGCCATGTCCTTGGCTGCATCAAAAGAAGTGTGGCCAGCAGGTCGAGGGAGGTGATTCTGCCCTTCTACTCCACTCTCATGAGACCCCACCTGGAGTACTGCGTCCAGCTCTGGGGGCCCCAACATAAGAAGGACATGGAGCTGTTGGAGCGAGTCCAGAGGAGGGCCACAAAGATGATGAGATGGCTGGAGCACCTCTCCTATGAAGACGGACTGACAGAGTTGGGGTTGTTCAGCCCAGAGAAGAGAAGGCTCTAGGGAGACCTAATTGTGGCCCTTCCGTACTCAAAAGGGGGCTTATAAGAAAGATGGGGACAGACTTTTTAGAAGGGCATGTAGTGACAGGACAAGAGGTAAGGGTTTTAAACTAAAAAGAGGATAGATTTAGATACATTTAAATGTATCTTCCTTTAAATACAAGGAAGACATTTTTTACAATGAGAGTGGTGAAGCACCGGAACAGATTGCCCAGAGATGTGATAGATACCCCATCCCTGGAAATATCCAAGGTGAGGTTGGACAGTTGGACTCTGAGTAACCTGATTTGGTTGAAGGTGTCCCTGCCCATGGCAGGGGGGTTGGACTAAATGACCTTTAAAGGTCCCTTCCAACCCAAACTATTCTATGATCTTATGGTAATTTGAGTTATTATGACGTTTACCATTCATGTTGTTCTACCAAGTGAGTTTGCAGAGCTGGAAGCAGGTGCGAGACACAAATGGAAATCTGATCAAAACATAGAAAAACAAATGCTATTTAAGATCTTAATTTCTAACAAGACTACTACAATGAAATTTTTAAGACTTTCATCTGACTGGCCAACTGATTTTCTGCTACTTGAGTAGAAGCAGCCAGTTGTATTATGAGTTCTACTGGATTACCTTATGCTCCAGAATCTAATATTTTGAAACATTAAGATGGAATGTGAACTGAAACAGTTAGGATAGTTAATTGTGCATTGGATTGGAAGGGAGGTAATGCTGGGTGTCCTGTTTGGGGAAAGAATATTCTTGATATATTCTGCTTATATAGAAAAGTGGGGATTTATTGCACATAACATTTTCCTTGACTTCTAAGTCATTTGGGAATTACCAGGTTGATTTGTCTTTGAAATATAGTTAATAAATTATACTAGGAAATAGCTACAAAAAGTGTGCCTATTACTTTTTTTTTACATCCTTTATATAGGAAGAATTTTTGCAGCTGTTCATTGGAAAGCGGGAACACATCCCCACCCCTGAATATTGTTGTGGCCCAGGAGCACAATTAGCATGGAGGGTTGCAGAAAAGAGCCTTCTCTAATGGAATGCAACCAGAAATAGACTGGGTTTCAAAAATATTAAATTCAGCACTTCTCTTTCCTGTGTTCAGCCACCTGAATTACAGGGGAGAAAGGGAGAGATGAGCTGGTTGGTTACTTGATTGTTTTTATCAAGCCTTCAACTGAACATTTCCCAGGAAAGGTACAGATCTCTTTTCCCTGGACTAATTCTGCTAATGATCACTTATATGTTCTAAATTCTTGAGGGTAAATACCTTTGTATTTCAACAGTTACACTTCGAAGACCATGGTGCTAGAATTTACTGAATTGTCTTGCTCAAGTTGTTCAAAGCAGAGTAACTAATGATGATAAAATACTGAAATATTTATGGTCTAACATTATGATTGAGCTATATAGAGTGTTTCAAAAATGAGAAACTGAAAGAAGCTTATAAAAACGAGAGTCAGCAATGACATCAGTCCATTGCTTGATGAGGTTGGTCACCTCACAAATAGGGATGCAGACAAAGCAAAGAAGTTTAATGCCTTCTTCACCCCTGTCTTCAACATCGATGATGGGTCCTGGGACCCCTGGAGCCCTGTGTTGGAAGACCATGACTGGGGGGATGATAAACTCCCAACTGACCCTGAACTTGTTTGAGACTTTCTGCTCCAGCTGGATGCGCATAAATCTGTGGGACCTGGTGGCATTCATCCCAAGGTACTGAAAGAGTTGGCGGATGTCATTGCGGGACCTGTCTCCATTTTTCAATGGTCTTGGGAGTCCAGAGAGATCCCAGTCAACTGGAAGCCAGCAAATGTCCAAATTTTCAAGAAGGGAAAGAAGGAAGACCATGGTAAATACAGGCCTGTCAATCTCACTTCGGTGCCTAGTAAAATTATGGAGAAGGTTATTCTGGGACTTACTGAAAAACACTTCGGATACAACACAGTCATTGGTCATAGCCAGCACAGGTTCATAAGGGGAAAGTCCTATTTAACCAATTTAATCTCCTTTTATGACAAGGTGACCCATCTAGTTGACCAAGGGAAGCTAGTAGATGTGGTATTTTTTTATTTTAGCAAAGCTTTTGATATTGTGTCTCAAAGTATCCTTCTGGATAAACAGTCAAGCACAGGGCTAGACAAGTCCATAGTATATTGGTTGAGCAACTGGCCAGTGGGTCAGTCTCAAAGAGTTTTAGTAAATGGGATTACATCAGATCAGTCACCAGTGGGATTCCCCTGGGCTCAGTTTTAGGGCCAGTTCTCTTCAATGTTTTTATCATAGAATCATGGAATTAAAGAATTGTTTTAGTTGGAAAAGCCCTTTAAGGTCGTCAAGTTGAACTGTTAACCTAGCCCTGCCAAGTCCACAACTAAACCATGTCCCTAAGCACCACATCTATGCATCTTTTAAATACCTCCAGGGATAGTGACTCCATCACTTCCTTGGGCAGCCTGTTCCAATGCTTGACAACACTTTTGGTGAAGAAATTTTTCCTAATATCCAATCTAATCCTCCCCTGCAGCAACTTAAGGCCATTTCCTCTTGTCCTATCACTTGTTACTTCAGAGAAAAGACCAACACCCACCTGGCTACAACCTCCTGTCAGGTAGTTGTAGGGAGTGAGAAAGTCTCCCCTCAGCCTCCTTTTCTCCAGGCTAAACAACTCCAGTTCCCTCAGCTGCTCC